GGGGGGGGGGGGGGGGGCGCAAAATATTTGGCCCCCTTTGGAAAAATTCTGACCAGTACAAGCATGTGCATTATATTTTCATTTCTTTTAATGGAAATTTTAAATGTTCTGAATTTGTTTGTAATTAAGTAGAGTTATTATGTTAACTGCTTATTTCAGATCACCAAAACACATGATTAAAATAGCCTGCAAAAATGGCGGCACTTTACCGAATCTAGAATTTAAAAAGTATACATTGTACTATATTATACATGGATGGTGTGGGAGTCCAGATACATTTTCACATAACAGACAAACTTCACATAACAGATAAACTGCAGTCAGTCATGTTACCAATAAGATTTCTAGTTTGTTGACTTTGAAATGGCCGAGATTTTACTCGAGTATAGATATTTATACTTTATTGAATACCCCCTGTATATCGCTGACCAGGTATTGCTGCTTTTGTCGCGCTATAAGATGTTTTTTTCCCGCAAAAGGGCTTATTTTACGCATATTAGTTGTATGTCTAAATCAATAATTCTCGACTTTAAGTCCCAAAAGCCACACGAGAAGCAGTTTAAGACGTTTAAGACGTCTTTACAAGTCCAAATTTATCATAAATTGCAACAAATAATTCATCCCCTCTCCTTGCGTAAAAATATGCCCAGTCAGCGTTTTTAGCTGGAGCTACTTTGGCTCCCGCTTCCGGGGGCACCAATATTCTTCGGTGTTCAGGTTTGGATTATCCCAGGGCTTCTGAGAGCAATAAGCGCAGAAGCCTTGGGTACGAGGTTAAAGAACACATGGGTATTGAAGGTACTAGACTTAGTTCTGAAACACCACACACTCGAACAGGCTTGGCCTCGTAGCTCAGTTAGCAGAGTATTGGACTAATATCCCAAAGTCGCGGGTTTGATTCCCACCGTGGTCAGGCTAACTTTTCAGCCTGCCCGGTGTGGATATACACTCAGAGTAATATCAAAGACACAATACTAGTATCATATCGGTATATAATAAGCAGTTACTACTTACATTGAAAATTTAAGAAACAAGATTTAGTATCTACAATCTTAACTGGATTTTAATCGGTTAATAATAATGACATCAAGGTTTATACAAAAGCAGGTTTTCAGATTAATTAAAAATGTTTGTATACTTTCTCAAAAGTTGGAGTTTCTTTTGCCTGTCTTTAGGTTTTTTCAATCTGAATATTTGAGCGTCTTTAGCTATTTTTGTATTGATAGCATATGCCTCCTGTCCCACCCAACTATAGTGCAATTGTTCCATGTGGCACCTACAGTAAAACCTGAGTGCCACGTGACCAATCCGAGTCAGGGGATTTCTAGGGTAGCGGAGATGAACACCCTGATTATTAGGTTGCGTCAAAAGTCACGCCAAAACTATATTAAAATTCGTATATGAGGTATAACTCCTAGATCGTCTAACTCTAGGCTGCTATAGCATGAATTTTGTCATGAATGGCGCCAAACAAGGATAGGCTCGTGGCCGAATCCCTGTATGTAAACTATTATTATCTGGCAAAACTATTTAATTTCCACGTAAATTTCAATGAATTTCCTGAAAATCCTCGGTAGTCTGAAGGGTTAAATAAGGCTCCGTAAATGCCGATTTTGGAAACCGACTCAGCACGCCATCTGACTTTACATTCGACTTTTCTCCGAGTAGTTTTGGCACATAAATGATATGTTTTACACATTTTGGGTATGGATTTGGATCGGTTTATTTTATAAAAGTCTTTGAATTTACGGATAAATACGAAAGTTCGAGGTAGTTCCGTCAAGAGATGTCACAAATAACCACTTTGTTTACATATATCCTGATAATATTATATTCCAACAACCAATTAAAATCTAACAATCTTCACACGTTTCTGGGAGTGACCGACGTTTTATAGATACCGTATAAATTCAGCTGTTTCTATCAATTATAGAAATGGTTTTTATAGCTAGTTAAAATGATTATGGGTAAAGTTTGACTATACAATGTAAAACTGGATGCAGAGAAATGATTCACTCATAGACAAAAAAGGTTAACTTTATTTTCATCTTACCTTTGAGAGAGCTCTTTCCTCTTCTCTATCTGATGACGATTTGAGGTTCTTTAAATAATAGTCTTGTATTTCATCACTGCAGTATAACCGAAAAGTGACGTTTCAACTCGAATCCAATTGGACGGTTTAGTCACCTGGTTAATTATGCGGACATATCACGAGGCTCAATATCCGTTCAAAATACAATTAATCTACAGGATGTATCAAAAAGCCCTTTGCATGGAAATCAAGCTATTGTTGTTAAGCACAAGAGTTTATGTTCCTGGGAATTTAAAATACTTTAGATTCTATATATCGTATAGCAAGGAGCATAAAAATTGTCAAATAAACTATATAGTCATATATTATCAGTTCGAATAAAACTGATCAACTGACCACAGAACAACGAGATTTTACTGTTTTACGGGCTGTGTTATATTAATCAGCATATAATTCATATGTTGGACAAAACCAAATTGAAGTTTTAAATAACTTCGTCATGCATAAAATAATTCACTTCTATTCTTTTTTATACGCAATCGTGGGTTCAGCATAAATAGTCGGTGCATGCTATGTGTATTCAAATTCCAACAATATATATAGCTTGATTTCTCAAGGTCACGCGTTTCTATATTCCCTGTGTAATTAATCTTATATATGCTTTATTCACGGCTAAAGTTACTCGTAATTAACGTGTCAGTGTTAGATTCGAAGTCATATTACAACTCTGGAAGTCACAACTCGATCTAGGTTTTGTGACATAGAGTATACGCCAATGAATGATTTGCCGGTTGCCAGACCCCATATTTCCGCGCGGTTAGCGCAAAGAATCTTGGGATCGCCAGGGGGAAAACACAATATATTCGCATTATGATAGCAATTCTCCACGAATCCTTTTTACCAATCGGCAATGAGTATAAATCCATTTCTGATTATAATAGATATTTAAAAATGCAAATTTTATTCTACAAATGTCAGATTGTTTTTAAATCGAATATGTGAATATCTTGTGTTTGCCCCCCCGCTATCCCAAGATTCTTCGCGATAACCGCGCAAAATTTGGGGTCTGGCAACCTGCAAATCATTCATTTCGTAGGTTATATGTAGGTTACTAAATTTTCAAGACGATCGTATCATTACAAAATGTATGGAGGTTGCACTTCGTGCCATTTTCTGCATTTTTTGTAAAAGGAATAAAAACTGGTCTTGCGGCCTGAACATCTCAAATTCTACTTTAGCTATAGACAGCGCAGATAACGTAGACATGCAGTGCAGATAACAGGCCTACTTTATTCAGGGAACTATTTTCTTATCAGGTAATGTAGTTAGGGAAAAATCGGTCTTGACTTATAAATTATGATGTATGCGTGACTATGGATCAGGATATGTAAGTAATTTTCTATAGCTAGTTTAATAAAAAAATACTATTGTTATTGTAATTCAACTTCAATAGACTTGTCAACAATCCTTCTACTTCGGATATATCCGAGAATCTCCTTATCAAATGCGTCAAAACCGCCTAATCGCCAGACAATAAAAGATCGGTCCCCCTTTCTAGTTTAATATAGCACAGGAAGTTTAAAGAATATTGCATCGATAACCTAATTGGCGTTTTGTTTTTTTTTGTTTTTTTTATATAATGATATTGGATTGAATGTAGTTGATTTCTCCTCATCAAGAATGTCATATTTTGTATATCTTCCGGTTTTAAGATTATTTCTGAACCATCAACGCAAAACTGTGTTTCGAATTCATTTGGTTTCAGGGCGTCCTGTGCGAACCTTTCTTCATGCGGGTCTTATTGTAACTTGAGACGAAAGGTTTCTGGATATTTTTTGTAATTTCCTGTATTTGCAACCACTTTTAGTTCCTTGTCAATGATTTAATCAGTTCTGTACGTCAGCTAGTTGACACTTATTTCCTCCGTGTCAATTATGTATATATATTTAAGAAATAGAAAGCATTTTTTATATATATAATTGATGTATTTACACGGAAAGGTCTTATACAAAATTAGATAGTAGAATTCAAATTAATTATTTTTCACCACGTTTAGATTTGCAAGTTGAATCTTTCAAGAATTCAATACTGCATGTGCCTTACGCCATTATTTTTTGCTTCGATTATATTCGTACGACCCTTATTGATCCCGATTTTCTTCCAGAAGCCAATAATAGAGACCTTAAAATTTAGGCAACGGCTACCAATACAATAATTGAAAAGAATTATTATTAGAATAATTGAAAATAATTACAATATATGAATAATTTAGACCTTGTCCTTCGCTCTGTTTAAAACGCCAAATCACAGATTTCCACGTCTTGATAGAACGGCTGCATTTCAAACGTAACCGCAATAAGTGCAACTTCAAAATGGGTTCAGCAGAATTCTTCCTAACCATAAAACCCATGTTTCCAACTTCTAAGACTGTATTAATTTCATACGATAGATAATATACAAAGAATTATCTTTACTACCATTTATTTGAAGGAGTTTGTTTTGACCGTCGTCGTCGTGTTGCCTCTAATGAGTCAGGACATCTTCATTTTATAACATACATACTTGCAGGGAGGTGAGTCCGGGATTGGACGCACCGAGGGTGGCTGGAAGTTTCCCGAACCTGCAAGTATGTTTGGTTTTTATCACATGCCATTTCGGTAAAAAGTACTAAAGAATTTACACATTTTAGTATATAATTTTTTGTTTGGATAACGAGCATTTTAGCCGCCAACATACTCCGCAAACAAACAAACTTACACTTAAATTGAAGCTAAAACAATTCTCTACAATATTCCCTTATTCTTGAAAAGAGAAAATGCACACATTCTGCGAAAACATTGCCAAACAAATTGCTCTTGCCGAACAAATTTCGGCGGCCATCTTTCTTCTCTTCCACTTTGAATACAGAATTAATATTCCATTTTCATCAAACAAAATGAAAAAAATAATAATTATAAAACAATTAAAAACAGATAATTAATTTTCTATTTCGACCTTCGTCAGAAATTTGTTCAAATCGCTTCATAATGGCCGCCGCCGAAACATCTATCTCGCACCCCCAACCTAAACATACGTGGGTTCGAGATTGAACGCACCTCTTCGTAGCCAATAGGAAAGCCGCTAATATATACGCTAGGTATGCGATAACTGTGTAAGCTTCAATAAATAAATAAAGCGATCTTTAATAATCCACCTTAGGTTGAAAAATACAGTGGAATTACAAATCAATATATACATTTATATCTCATTTGTGTCGGTTTCCTTTGATCGTCCGAGGTTTATAACTAGCTACTATACACTGTACCTTGAATAAATAATTACATCAAACTTTTCGACAAAACGCGTGAATTTTTCATCAAAAATTTTTGAAAATGTTGTGATATAAGTTAGTTATAAACCTCGAAAGTCGGTTTATAACTGATATATTGCCCTCGGACGCTGCGCGTCCTCGGGGGCAATATATCAGTTATAAACCTCCTTCTCGGTTTATAACTCTAACATATACAAATATTAAAAATATTAAATAAACTAAATATTGGAATCGAGCGGATGTGCAGTAAAAAATTAATGTTTTGTTAAAAGTTCCATTGCCCGAGGTATGAACGACGACTTATGTCTTTCAGTTCTGGATGTTATTGCAAGGCATTGGCACTGTTGTTCTTAGATCTAAAATAATAATCATGTTTATGCGCAGCAAGAGCAAGATCGTGACACAGGTGTGTCGCTAATCATTGTCTCCATTTCTAGAAGTTTCCTTTGGAATCTTGGACATAACTGGTTGAGACTATTTTCCCCCTATAGAAAATTCGCGTATTTTTATGATAAACTCCATGTTGAATCATGTTGCCATTCTTAAACTCCCGCTCCCCCAACTCAATGTT